ACATACAGTGACATACATATACACTGATGTATATATGTCAATTTACATATGTACTGCTGTATTTCTTAAATTTGAACTGTTAAAAATGTCACATTTTCATAAAAAGCTATTGAAACATCTTCATAGCTTTATTATGAAACACTATGTCAAGTTGCAAAGATATAACTTCACTGTACATGTACTTTTTTCACTTTCAAAAAAATGTAATTTTTAGCCATTGGAAAATCAAGAAGCAGTCATCAGTCTGTTATTGACATTTGATCCGGGCTCGCGCACGAAACAGAGAGAGACAGAAGATATGCCGAAACCCACGTGCTGCGAGTGGTGGCGTTACTGTTCACCTATGGCCAGGTAAATTGTAAACAAACAAATTTCTGCTCGATGTCTAACCAAAGAATAAAACGAGTATCTATAGATGGCGCTACCGACTTATGAAAGTCTTGAGATTCATGAGAGAATGGCAACGATAAATCTTTGAGTTATTTCATTCATTTTTTCTAAATAATCGTAAAAGTATCGGTACTCAATAGGCTGTACATCACGGTACAGTTAAAATTTTAAAATTCCGATCACGGCACTGGACAGCTGAGGAAAAATCCTATGAAAAATGTCAATAAAAAAAATTTTTTTTTTGAGATTTTAGGTACCTTTCCCCCTTAATAAATACAAACTTTTAAGAAAATATTCAAATAAAAATTCATTTATTTCTACCACTTCATATTCGGTGTAAATTTTGCGATTATAAAAAATCTTTTTTTTTTTTTTTTTCGAAATCGTGCCTCCCCCTGACCTTGCCGCCCATACGCCATGGCGTTGGTGGCGTATGCGGTAATCCGGCTCTGGTCGGTAACTATATTCGCGTATTTTGTACCCATTTTTTTCATTTAGTATACAACCTATGGTCTTGAAATTTTTTGGGAGTGATCATGAAACTAATAGAAATGTGCTTATGAAGCTATTTTTTCATATAAATATTGTAAAAATTTTTTTTTTCAATTATCTGAAAAAATAGCTTCACAGGCACATTTGTATTAGTTTCATGATCACTCCCACAAAATTTCAAAACCATAGGTTGTATACTAAATGAAAAAAATGGGTACAAAATACGCGAATATAGTTACCGACCGAGTGTGTATAGAGGACCCTTAAACATGGTAACTGTCATGGGGACGCGCTGTATCACGGCGAAGTTTTGCTCAGCTCGTCTCCACGACCAAATGCGCTCATGCTTTTATTTCAGCATGTTATCCGAGTCTTTTCAGCGGCTCGCGACGACCGCTCTTATATCACGCGAGTCGCTGCGATTGCATTCCTTCTTTGCCGATAGTTCTTAGCCATCTTTAGAGTGGAGCCATCAGCTGGTTTTACTTTTCAACTAACTGATCCGATTTTTAATTTTCAAATTCTGTTTACCGAGCCTTCTGCATTCATAAGAAAAATTAAATGATTTTAAAAACACTTTGTAAAATAAAAGTGGCACTTATTAAATAGTAATTTACTCGACTATAACATTTGATTCTTTTAAAAAATGACCGCAAGGCTGGAAATCGCGCCGAACTTCCGACAGCTATGTAAAACCTCCCGTATTTTTCTTAGTTTTAAAAAAAAGTTAGTTTTCATTAGTTAGTTATTTCTTTTAGGTGCGTTTTGATACTTTTACAGCGAGTTAGAAATTGAGTGATTAGACCAAAAAATGCCGCGTGGCAGAGCGCTGGGAGGACACTTTGAGAAATTCGGTGATTGACTCGACGATATATTCAACCTGCTTTGCAAATTATACTTGTGTTTTAAAAAATACAAATTAATTTAGGCCAAATCTTTGTGGCTTCTTTGCATTTTTTTCTTTCTTTGCAAACTCCTCTTAAAAGGGTATTTTAACATTTGAGTTGAATTATTTTACATAAAACGTTGAGTAACTCTTATAATTATATTTATTCAATTTTCAACTTTTCAACGCGAATCTTTATGTATATCCAAGAAAAAGAAAAACGTAACATTTTGAACTCGTTCGCACAGGTGGTCAGACTGCTTCTGGAGCGCAAAGCCAAGGTCAACCGGTGCGACTCTCAAGGCATGACTCCGCTCTTCATCGCCGCCAGGGCCGATCATCCGGAGCTGATTGAACAGCTGATCAACTACGGAGCCAACGTGAAGCGCTGCGACCGCGCGGGTCGAGACGCGCTCTGGTATGCCACCACCGCCGGTCATTTCTCCAGCTGCGTGACACTGCTGCGTCTCGGTGGGCCCTGGTATCGCCTCTACGGCCAGCGAGGCCGCAACTTGCTGAGCATCGCCGCGTCGAAGGGCTACCGCCGCATCGTGAATCTCTATCTGAGGCAAGGCCTGGACAGGCTGCAGCCGTACTCGGACGACGCGGGCTTTAGCCCGCTGCACTACGCCGCCATCGGCGGCTCGCCCGAGATCTGCCGGACTCTGCTTGGCTTTGGCATGTACATCGACGACACGAACGACAAAGGCTGGACGCCGTTGATGTATGCCGCCAAATACGGGAACAAGAAATGCCTCGAGGCGCTGATAAAATACGGGGCTAAGATCGATCACGTAGCCGTAGAAGGAGAGACCGCCCTGACGTGAGTTTTTTTTTTTTACCTTATCGCGTGTACTTTTTTCGATCGATTTATTCCATTCGTTAATTTTTCTTTCTCTCATTGCAGTGTCGCTACGTACTACAATAAATGTGACTGTGTCCAAGTGCTGCTCTTGAATCACTACTTAAAAGTGCCAAAAGGTTGGTTGTAAAGGAGACAGAGAGAGGGAGCGGCTGGCGACTTGTTTGTACATATTGTGTAAAATATTTATTGTAAATTTAAGATGTAAATAAATTTTTTTCAAATAGTTACACGATCGCTGTATTTTTTTTTTTGTTACAATTGACATAAAATTTTATAATAATTACTTCTCTCGTTATCGATTAATTCGATACATTAAATTACTTCTATACAGGGTCGATTGCACGAAACGTGCTTTTTTTGTCAAGAATTCACATAAAATCAACATCCTCTTCCATCGTCTCACTCTCTAAACCCGGTGTCTCCTCAAAAACTCCATGTACCCTTCGTCCTCGTAATTTCCCACGGGTGGAGATGCCTCGACGTAGAAACAACCATCGGCGAGCCTCGGATTGTTTCTCTTCATCTGCGATTCGAAGTTCCGTCTCCATATCGGATGCAACAAGTTGGACCTGATACCGCAGATGTACAGCTCTTCCAGTTCTCTCAAATCGTACAGAACCCGCCATTCCCAGCTGTCGGGCAACCAGCCGATGTGAAGGCTTTTCAGGGTGCGCGACCAAGACCCTCGTATCACCGCGCGCAGATTCTCGCAATTCCAACCTCGATCGCTGACGTAATTCGGAGTCCTCTCGCGCCTCGAGTCTAACCAGAGATTCTCGAGCTCTTGGAATCGAGCGATGCACTGAAAGCATCAAGATATTAACATTATTTTAAAGCTTAAATTCAGTTTCAGCAAATACTAATAGCTATGTATATCGACCATTGAACATTTTTTTGTGATAGTAAAATATGTTACGGATTATATTTTGATAAATGCATTAGAATATATTTTGGTGCACTTTATAAGTATGTTATTCTGAAAAATTTCCTCTTTATCGAAATTCAAAATTAAAGTGAGTCCAATTGCTTAGATTACCCTGTGCGTGATTATATTTGTCCATTGGGAAGCGGAACGAAATGTCTCACTGAAATAACTGCAAAGCTTGCATGTGGGTAGTCTGCTTCGTTTTGTGAACCAGTGGACAAAATATATCTGTACACAGTATTTATGAAAGTGATGCACCGATCGCTAGCCACGTTTCTATAGAGTCGAGGTGGATATAGCATTTTTTACTGTGCAGAGGCAGATCGTTGAACGTAGGCGACGTACATGCACTTTACCAAATGAAAAGAAGAAGAAACTTGATGCATACACGTAGAAACTTTTGACCATGTTTCACGCTCGAATGCATAGAGATACATTCGAGCTCTGAGTCGAGCACAATTCATGCTCAGTCTCAAACTTTTGAAACTTGAATTTAATTGAAGGTAAACTTGCCATATTTTGAATACTTATAAAAATTGTTTTTTTTTCATTTATTGTGAGTATGGAAATTTTGAAAATTTTTATAAAAGTACCTTTTGATAGGAATAAAATTAACTTTTAAATTATTACATACGCTTAACCAAAGAAATTGGTTAAACTTCTAAAAAATTTGTTTACGCGATCCAAGACCCATAAATTAAAATTTTCAAACATGTTTCCTGAACCAAATTTATTATAACGCATCCGAATATCAGTAAATTAACGAATTATCACGAGAAAATTCAACAAGAAATAGTTAGTACAAGTCTCAGAAAATTTGTTTGAAAGTTTCAATTTTGAGATGGATTTCGGATCCTTTTATGAGCAGACGCAAGAATGAGTGACCCGTGTTTTGAATTTTCATTAATTTTTTTTTTTTTTAAATCTACGTTTTCGCATGCATGTAAATCATTAATTTGTAATTTAAATGTTTGCGTTGTAAGAGTAAGTATAACGAAAAATGCTGTATTTTTTATAATTTTTTTTTCATTCTATGAATTATAAAATTATCTTTAAGAAAATATCTATACTTTTGCCGAAAAAAAGCAAAAGAAGGTTCCCCCCTTAACGGAAGGACCCTTCTTAAGCAAATTTTTGATCGGCGCTCCGGAACGGTTTAGTCAGGAATCGAACCCGGCTATTCCACTCCGTCGATGGCAGAGGTCGGATGTTTTAGACCACTGTGCCACCAGATGCACGTTTATTTCAGCTAGTTTTTGTAGTTATACACGACTACTTTCTCTTTCTGTGATTACGTTTCACTTGACTAGCTTTTTTTAATAGCCTCCGAAATTCGTCACGCCATCTATTGTCAACTAGCAGTACTATCAAAGCTACGATTCGACCATTTATCTCAGAAGTCACGTCGCAGCTCTACTTAAACATGGTAACTGTTATGGGGACGGGCTGTATCACGGCTAAGTTTTGCTCAGCTCGTCTCCACGACCAAATGCGCTCATGCTTTTATTTCGGCATGTCATTCGAGTCTTATCAGCGGCTCGCGACGACCGCTCTTATATCGCGCGAGTCGCTGCGATTGCATTCCTTCTTTGTCGATAGTTCTTAGCCATCTTTACCGTGGAGCCATCAGCTCGTTCTACTTTTAAACTAACTGATCCGATTTTTAATTTTCAAATTCTGAAATTTAACGATTTTTTATAATGTTTTAATATCCCAATAGGTCCCACCATGGATCATTACTAAATTATGGGGAAAAATAGTTTTTGGGTAGCAGAATTGAGTGGTATAACTATTTTCGGGGTGCGTGTTTTGTAAAAAAGCTATGTACAATAAACATAGAATTTGCTCACATCCATTGTTGAGTGAATTTTAATCAAATTTTGCGTTGTACATGAATAGTTTTACTTTAAATGGCACAATTTATATAGCCCATTTTAGTTTTCGACATTTTTAAAAAGATGACGCTATTAGCTTTTAATAATTGCCAAAAAATCAATATTTCAACCAAATTTAGGAACAAATATTGTCTTAGAAATATGTACTTTGTCAAATCCTCGTAGGCCTTCAGCCAAATTTGATGGGTTTCGTGAGTCCTTTTATGAGCAGACGCAAGTATGAGTAACCCGTGTTTTGAATTTTCATTGATTTATTTTAAAAACACTTTGTAAAACAAAAGTGACACTTATTAAAGAGTTATTTACTCGACTATACCATTTCATTTATTCTTTAAGATCAACAACGACCGACATCAGCCGTTGTGGGTAAACGCGAAGGACAAGTTCGGTTTGACGCCGCTTCAATGGGCCGTGACTAATTTTTTGCCACATGTGATCGACATACTGTTGGATCGTGGCGCAGATCTGTCAAGCATCGATCTTTGCACTTGGAGAAACTCCGCCGACAGATTTGAATCGCCGAATAAAGTTTCGTTCAATCTTGAATTGAGACTGGTGTCTGGAGTTCTGGCCATTGACGACGATATTATGATCATGACATTATTTAGCAAGAAGGGATTTTTCGAGAAATCGATGGATCTTTACGAACGATGGTTTGATGATGAGAAATTCACGACAGAAGTGAAAAAAATAATGATAGATTCAAGGCTGTTATTCTACGACTTAATTCGATTGGCACTCGAAGAGGTAACAAAACGATTTACATATCCGGAAGTCTTCAAGCTCACGCGCATACACGAATTGTGAAAGCTTACTGAAATTCAGAGTGGAGCCTGAGTGGCGTATCTATGCGAGATACTTTCACCATCGATGGGCACACGTATTCAATATTGATCTAAAAAATGTGTATGAATATTCTTCATCGCGGTAACATAACGACATAAAACGCGCAGTTCGTTATGGCTCGTCAGTTACAACAACTAGGGCTGTGCTAGTACTCGAAAAAACTCGAAATCGACGAGTCGGTGTTTACGCTGCAGAGTCGACGCGTGGAATGCCTTTACTTTCTAATTGTGTAAACGCATATACAAGAAAAAACTTTTGAACATCTTTCACGCTCGAATTCTGAAAACGAATCGCTCACGAGTTCTGCTGAGCTCGTATCGTCACCAGCACTGAGCGCGATTCAGCCTCGAGACCGAGCGTAAATCGCGCTCGAGCCTCGTCGAGCAAGTTTCGACATTATTACTGAGTGCGATTCACACTCATCTCGAAATGACTATCCCAATATCCAGCCACAATTCAGTACTCGGTCGTTTTTTAAAAGAATGAAATGGTATAGTCGAGTAAATAACTATTTCATGAGTGCCACTTTTATTTTACAAAGTGTTTCTAAAATTATTTAATTTTTCTTATGAATGCAGAAGGCTCGGTAAACAGAATTTGAAAATTAAAAATCGGATCAGTTAGTTTAAAAGTAGAACGAGCTGATGGCTCCACGGTAAAGATGGCTAAGAACTATCGACAAAGAAGGAATGCAATCGCAGCGACTCGCGCGATATAAGAGCGGTCGTCGCGAGCCGCTGATAAGACTCGAATGACATGCCGAAATAAAAGCATGAGCGCATTTGGTCGTGGAGACGAGCTGAGCAAAACTTAGCCGTGATACAGCCCGTCCCCATAACAGTTACCATGTTTAAGTAGAGCTGCGACGTGACTTCTGAGATAAATGGTCGAATCGTAGCTTTGATAGTACTGCTAGTTGACAATAGATGGCGTGACGAATTTCGGAGGCTATTAAAAAAAGCTAGTCAAGTGAAACGTAATCACAGAAAGAGAAAGTAGTCGTGTATAACTACAAAAACTAGCTGAAATAAACGTGCATCTGGTGGCACAGTGGTCTAAAACATCCGACCTCTGCCATCGACGGAGTGGAATAGCCGGGTTCGATTCCTGACTAAACCGTTCCGGAGCGCCGATCAAAAATTTGCTTAAGAAGGGTCCTTCCGTTAAGGGGGGAACCTTCTTTTGCTTTTTTTCGGCAAAAGTATAGATATTTTCTTAAAGATAATTTTATAATTCATAGAATGAAAAAAAAATTATAAAAAATACAGCATTTTTCGTTATACTTACTCTTACAACGCAAACATTTAAATTACAAATTAATGATTTACATGCATGCGAAAACGTAGATTTAAAAAAAAAAAAAATTAATGAAAATTCAAAACACGGGTCACTCATTCTTGCGTCTGCTCATAAAAGGATCCGAAATCCATCTCAAAATTGAAACTTTCAAACAAATTTTCTGAGACTTGTACTAACTATTTCTTGTTGAATTTTCTCGTGATAATTCGTTAATTTACTGATATTCGGATGCGTTATAATAAATTTGGTTCAGGAAACATGTTTGAAAATTTTAATTTATGGGTCTTGGATCGCGTAAACAAATTTTTTAGAAGTTTAACCAATTTCTTTGGTTAAGCGTATGTAATAATTTAAAAGTTAATTTTATTCCTATCAAAAGGTACTTTTATAAAAATTTTCAAAATTTCCATACTCACAATAAATGAAAAAAAAACAATTTTTATAAGTATTCAAAATATGGCAAGTTTACCTTCAATGAAATCCAAGTTTCAAAATTAGTTCACACTCATCAGAACCCGAGGGTGTTTTGCGCTTGAGACTGAGCATGAATTGTGCTCGACTCAGAGCGCGAATGTATCTCTATGCATTCGAGCGTGAAACATGGTCAAAAGGTTCTACGTGTATGCATCAAGTTTTTTCTTCTTTTCATTTGGTAGTGTGCATGTACGTCGCCTACGTTCAACGATCTGCCACTGCACAGTAAAAAATGCTATATCCACTTCGACTCTATAGAAACGTGGCTAGCGATCGGTGCAGCACTTTCATAAATACTGTGTACAAATATATTTTGTCCACTGGTTCACAAAACGAAGCAGACTACCCACATGCAAGCTTTGCAGTTATTTCAGTGAGACATTTCGTTCCGCTTCCCAATGGACAAATATAATCACGCACAGGGTAATCTAAGCAATTGGACTCACTTTAATTTTGAATTTTGATAAAGAGGAAATTTTTCAGAATAACATACTTATAAAGTGCACCAAAATATATTCTAATGCATTTATCAACCAGTCGAGTTCGAGTCGAGTAAAACTCGAAAATTTGGATACTCGCACAGCCCTAACAACAACCATTACTCCAATTAACAATAAAGGTATTATAAACGGTATGATAGCAGCTGATGCATGTGAAAGGCTCGTCGAAAAGAAATATAAATAAAAAAGATCAAAAACACAGGTCAAATAATAATTAAATTATCATATTCAATTATTCGCTTAAAAAGTGTAAAAATGTATAAAAAGAAAACTGAACTTGGTTATACTAAAAAATGAAATTAAAAATTATCGGAAAAAGTTTTGTTGAATAAAATCGTTAAACAAAATTTTAAACTATAAATTTTAAAACTTTCATATGAAAATTTGTGTAACTATTTATTTTAGAGCCTTAAAAGATTTTTTTATCGTTGGGATTAGCCGGCAAGTTTTTTAGATATTCTAAACCCCAAATCTTAGTCTCAACTGTTAATCTATTATCTGTATAATAGTTATTTACACATCAAGGGCTGGCTACGCGGCCTCGGCGACTACAGCGCCCCAACGCTGCAAACACACCTCGACTGTATCCACACCGCTACTCAGCCCTTGTTGTATAAAAAATTTTTCTGCATAAGAGCTCGTTTTGAGAACTATATCATGCATAATTGTTATGTTCCATTTAATTTCTTTATAGCACTCTAAACTAAAAACTGTGACTTTGCCGCTAGTTTTAGGCTCTCATGTACATACTGTATATGCAACTTGTGTGGATATGTTTTTTCTGAAAAACGAGGGGTTACATAAAGCGCTAGTTGTTCCAACTTGAATCTCATTACACTGATTTTCCTAGTGTCTTGATGAGTAGAGTCGATATAACATCGGTCACGCTGCATTTCTTTCCATTATTCAGTTTCTACTGCTTCATTTTTACAGTCATCGTGTTTGGTGCGAACACAAACATGACTTAAAAATGACATTTCTATCTCATGTAGATATGTTTACATTCAAGAAAGAGAGGTTAAAGGCAGCGCTAGTCGGCCCGCCACTTTGACATGTAGCAGACAGCACAGGCTACACGCACGCGAGCTGAGCGAGTCGTCTCGGCTCGAGTCTGCGGGATCGCATACAGTCGAGGAGAGCAGCGCGCTACGTGGCGACAATTCACACTTCTCCTCGACTGTAATCAGGGCTCCTCGACCTGTATTCAATTGATTTCAGTGCGAGGAGAAGTATGAATTGTCGCCACATAGCGCGCTGCTCTCCTCGACTGTACGCGAATGCGTTACTCACTGAGCACGCTCAGCGCGAAATCAGCCTCAAACGGGCTTCGTATGCTGAAAAATATGTTTATATGTTCATGTTCTACACTTTATTGGTCAAAAAAACCATTGGCCAAGCTGTGGAGAACCAATTGGATCACTTCTTTCATGTAATGAAATATTGTGTTATAAATCACTTGCCTTATGATCTTGAAATAGTTATTTATGTAACAAGTGGCCAAAAGGCGTTTTTGGGCACGAGTGGGTGTTTTTTTTGCACACTGTGCACAAAAAGCTGGGTACGTGTTGCATACAAAATTTTATGCCATAGTCGGCGAAAAATACTTTCATTCAAATGAGGCATTTTACTGCACACAAGGGTCCAAAAACGCTTTTTGCGCACTAAAGACATTTTTCGTCATACTATTGCATAAATAACTATTTCGTCATACTATTGTATAAAGAGTATTTTTATCAATATTGATCTGTAGGGTGTGATAATCTTCAGAAAAGTACCCTCATCCACTTGAGTGGAGAAGAATTTAGAAAAATTCTGTAAAAATTTTTATACACGTCAAAATGTGATCATTTTAAAGAAAATGAATATTTTATTAACACTAAATTCCATATTTAAGCTCTTCGAAGAGAAGCAAACTTTTTTTTCAAATTCTGCTCCGCTTAAGTGGATGAGGGTACTTTTCTGAAGATTTTCACACCCTACAGATGAATATTGTTGAAAAACTCTTGTCAAGACCATGCGGCAAGTGATTTATAACGTAATATTTAGTTTCTTTAGTTACATGAAAGAAGTGATCCAATTGGTTCTCCAGAGCTTGGGTAGAAGATCTTTTGTAAATCAGGTATACAACATGAACATATGAACATATTTTACTATGAACATATTTTATATAAATTAATAGATTAACAGTTGAGACTAAGATTTGGGGCTTAGAATTAATTAATTGAAAAATAATCGATGTTCATGTTTATTCGTCGCAAAAATAACACCGGATTCTGAAAGAGCATACCCAGAAACCCATAGATATGGATTTTCAAGTAAAGATTTTAACTTTATCCAAGATTTTTTTACAATTGAAAATTCATGCACAAAATTGCACTTTTGCGCGTTAATGGATTAATGTAAATATTTCTAAGTAATACAAAATTCCGACAAATTTCTGACGTAGTATCTCAAGTTTTTTTTTATCAATCAGGTGTAGCAGAAACACATTTTACTATCACAAAAAAAAAGTTGAATTTAAGCTTTCAACACGGGTTAGCCCCTTAATTTCTTTTTTGCTTTGCTTACCTGAAACAATTCAACGGCCTCGAACACGTGAAAGCAGTCGATTCTCAACGACCCCAGCGTCTCGGGTAGTGCTCGCAATAAATTGCGCAAATTGAACTGGATGTATCTTCTCCCGCGATTGGCCATCTCTACGGTCAACGTGAAACTCTTGAGATTCCTCATTCCCGCCCTTCCCACTACCTCGGCCAAAAAATCGATGTCCATATCTCGTATCGTGATATCGAAAACTTCGAGGCTCGGCGTTTCTAGAAGCGGTTCCATCTCTAATCGCATCCTCGACAGATCCAGCTTGAGACATCGTAATCTGCGGTTCTCATACCATACCAACTTCAACAATCTTTGGCTCGTGCTCCGGCAGAAAGAATTCGCGTCGAGTTCGAATTCCTCGTACAGTTTAAAGCCTTTTCGAATTCCACGCAAAATTGGACCCGGATCGATCCGCCTGTCGACGCAGACTCGCAGGAACTCGTTCAGTTGCCGAGGAGTCGCACGAAAGTACGACGCGTCCACCGCCTCTCGCCATTCTCTACAGACTGCGAAGAAACGATGTGCGCGTTTTTTTATTCATTCGAAGTAGAAAGAAAAAATAGAGAACGAAGGAACGAGCTTACTTGTGCGATAACTGACTCGGTCTATGATTGGATGGTATTGTATAATCTCGATTACAGTATAGAAATTCGGTCTTACGGCACGTTCCAGCCGCCTCGATGGATCGTCGACCATACTTGGGAACGACGAGTACGAATTTTCCAAGATTATTATACGTACGAGTAAATACGTATATGATTCGCTACTCGCGTTGAGACCACTGACACTACTGACACTACTGACACAGATCTGTTTGTTGTCGAGTTATTTACTTGGGTATTTAGTTTACGTGAAGGGGTATTATAATTTCAAACAATAATTGAACACACTAATTTCGATTGTCACGATCAATTATCTATTAATACAATTGGTTAAATAAAACCAAAATATAATGCGCAGTAACAAATTACGTATACATCGTATTTCAAGATTTAACGAACTATAAAACGTTATTAAACTAGATCGGTACGGCTAGTTTAAATGAACAAAAAACGAATGTGAATATCTATAGCGATCGACATTTTTAGAAAGAAATTTCATACGTGCCAGAGATGAATTTTCCAATGGTAAAAATATATGTCGAGCAACGATATGCAAATTCATTTGTCTACATATAAGAGCTAAATAGGTCTACGTCGTTTTGGAATATATGTAAGATCCTTTTTCGAAATAGAGCTCGAAAAAGTCTTGGATTTTCAATATAGATATTTTGAAAAACATTACGAGACTCTTTCTTTCTCGCAGAAAGAGTCGAAAGCTTTTTTACATGATACATCTTAACTTCATTACTGCTAATGTACGAATCTAACTTTGACTTAGATTTATGAATACCTGAGAGAAATTACAACGACACAGGAAAATCGCAATGATCAATGCACGACGATCGACATCGATGCATCGAATTTTTTTGTTACATAAACATATATAATAATGTATAATTTTGAGTCAATGACAGACTTTCGTTGCAACGACCGAAACATTTTTCTGTCTCTACTCCGCGGCAGGATCATCGGCCTCGTCGATGAGTCCCGTGCCGACAAAAATATTCTCCGCCTTGAGTTTCTTGTTGCAGCGCAACATCGTCTCGCGAAAACGCTCGCGGGCCTGCTCGTAGCCCAAACGACGGCTACAGCCTCGAATCCTAACCGACTCCAGCGACCTCAGATGGTAGAGGCATCCTATATGGAAGTCGGACTTCAATCCGCTGAGATGCAGCCTCTTTAGTCTCGTCAATTTTTTCAGGCTCTTTTCGGTCTTGTCGCGCGCATGACTGATGTGCTCGTGAATCTCGCCGAGCGAGTCGAGCTCCAGTTCCTCGAGCTTCGTGAATTTACCGAGCTTCTGATTGAAATAATTCATGATAAATGGTAAATAGCGCCATTCGAATACACACTCGGCAACATAATTATGGCAACAAAAAAATTCATCGAAATTTTGTCGATTTTCAAATGCTTCTATCTTGGGCTAGATTTATCGTATCGATACGCTTTTTTTTAATTTCTTGGAAATTTTGTCCTTTTTAAATCCATATATATTAAGATAAGATTTGAGTTAATGTTGAGTTACCAGTAGTATTTGAGCGTGACACTAAAAATTACTGAAAAAAAATGACTGTTTGAACGTGTACCAGTACCACAGTAATTTTTCTATGGAAATCTAACGTACACCATCGCAAAGTGCTCTTTTCAACGAGTAATTTAAAAAAAAGGACCTCTCTACGATTTTTTAACGTGCTGTAGGTCGATTTGAAGGTACGGTTTGTGTACACAAAATGCCCAGAAAATCTGAAAAGGGGAATTTACGTGCTTTAAATGGTACTTTCAAAACGAACTACAGGGCGTTGAAAAATCGTAGCGAGGTCCTTTTTTTTAAATTACTCGTTGAAAAGAGCACTTTGCGATGGTGTATGTTAGATTTCCATAGAAATATTACTGTGGTACTGGTACACGTTCAAATAGTCATTTTTTTTTCAGTAATTTTTAGTGTCGCTCTCAAATACTACTAGTAACTCAACATTAACTCGAATCTTATCTTAATATACATATATGAATTTAAAAAGGACAAAATTTCCAAGAAATTAAAAAAAAAGCGTGTCTATACGATAAATCTAACTCAAGATAGAAGCATTTGAAAATCGACAAAATTTCGATGACTTTTTTTGTTGCGATAATTTTGTTGCCGAGTGTATTTTTCGATGCGGTTGGAAAATTCTGTACTCACTTTGAACAGAGTCGGCAGAGCAAAAACATTTTGGCTCTTGATCGTCAAGTGCGTAATGGTCCGAGGCAGGTTTTCGAACATGACCTCCATCTCGTATCGGGCAACGTTATTCGACACGATGGGCTCTCTTATGGTCAACGACAGGCGTCTCAGCCTCGGGGAGACCGATTTTATGGCTCTTATGCTCAGTGTGTACAGGTCCCACTCGTCCAACGTCACGTCCAGCTCTCGGAGGCTGCCCTTGGAAAGCAGCGACTTCAAATATTTCGCGTTCTCATCGATATCGTTCACGTCGAGCGTCAGACTCGTAAAGCTCATGTCCTTGTGTGCCAATATCTCCAAGATCTCCGCGTCTATCTCCTTGCCGAAGGTGGTCTTGAAGACGACGACGGGCATATGTTTCGCGCACAGTTCTATCGTGTCGAGCATCTTTTTCACGTTCAGTCGAGGGTTCTGCTGGCAGAACTCCAGGAATTCGTGCAGTTGCTGCGACGACACTCGTTCGAACGACCTGCGTACCGCGTCCCGCCATCGCGAGTTGACTCTTTCGTAAACCAGTCGATTTTTGATGGGTAGATTTTCCAGGATCTTCGCCAGACACAGCTCGGGCATGCCCTGATCGAGATCCGGCTGAGCCAAGTAAGCCGTTCTTGGAGGACGAGGATTTCGTCGACGACGAGGTGTCGTGTTTCGTTGACGACGAGGCGCTGCATTCCTTTTACGACGTCCACGTGGCATGGTGATAGAGCAAAGTTTTCTTCTTCTTTAAAGGGCCAAAAAATTAAAAAAATGAATCGCGAGTTCACGAGCACATCTACTGCAAAAACTGTATTTTTAATACAGTACACGCGACTCGAACTGCTCTCAGCGAATTATCGGACTCGAGTGATCGGGCCTTTATTATTATTGACAAACTAAGCCTGCTTGGATTTGAATAAGGCGGTTACGATGAATTTGAAACGTATTGTTGTTCAAAGTATTTATTTAGGTCGATGTGTAAAATCATGTAGGCAGTTAACAAATGTTTTTTCAAGTCACACGAATAGAGTGAATATGCATGGAGAAAAGAATATAACAAATATTGTTAGAATTCATATTAAAAATTACTATTTTAAATAGTAATGGCATGACATCTAACTATTATCGGGAATTTTGCTAATATTGAAACAAATATTCTTAAAGATATTGAATATTCTATTATAAACTCGCTACAATAATTGCTATAGTGTTTAGTAAAAATTTCACTGTAGTAAATTTTATTTTAGAGTAACATGTTATCTGTTTAAGATCATAATACTGAATGATATGATCAAAGTAAATGTTAGTGCATAAGCACAAAAAATTACATTGTGTATCGCAAAATTTGCTACCTACTACAGTAACTTTTCTTGTGTGAGCTGACATAAGTGCGGCGATCGCGACCATAGCCTCAAAAGCACCGAATCGCTTTTGACTGAAGTAAATCACTGCTTGCTCTGGTGAGAATATTATGTGACTTTCTCGTATTTAAGTATCTTTAGTATCTTGACAATTTACTTGTAGCTCATAAGTTTTCAAATTTTAATTTAATTGTTAAATCTATCTATATATATAAAGCTGAAACGACGTCTGTTTGTATTTTATGTTCTTGAAAACTACCCTTCCGATTCCATTGAACTTTTTACCATACATTCATTATAGCACTGGGAAGATTTCTATGATCTAAGAAGAAATTCATCCATCTTTGCTTTCGACTTTCGAATATTTTTCGTTTTTCAAACTTCGCACACACTCACTCCCTTCCCCGCGCTCATCGCTCATCGCTTATCTATATCTGTGGGGTTTGGCGCATGTTTAAGTGTGAAAGCACCTTGCGCGACACGAGTTCAATATATTTCACGAATGTGAACGCGCCGTACGTTCGACATTGTAACGCGCACGCGCGAGCGACGATAGCGCGTTCGTCACCCGACTGCACGTGTAACGGTCGCTGCGTCGAGCAGATCATTGCGAAGCCTCGAGACGCGAACATTGACTGCTCTCTACTCAAGTTTAATTAACGGCTTGCCGACAATAAATTGATTTCGACTTCACAAGTATACCTCGTTGTCACCTTCTTTTATACCTTCATCCCTCGAGCTTGTATGGGAGCTCGATACTGACTTGGAGTCAGAATAATTGTAGTGTGGACCCGACTACATTATTATACACGGAGGCTGCAGTACCAACAGCCCCACTTAGCCCATACTGGTGATCTCGTCAAGAACATCTACAGGGACAACGCCTACGGAAGGTATACTTTCAAATCATCCAATTTTCTGTTCGACTTTTGGCCTGCCGAGTGAGAGGAGTTCAAGTCCGTCGTCTCGGCTTACAGCTCGGCGCCGGCAGAATTCGAGTTGCGACGCAGTATCTGTTGCTGTCGCCTTTTCGTTACCGCTCGATGTGAGCAAACGAAATTCATTTTTGCTGCTCGACTTCGCCAAATTACATCGTGCGCTGCTGCTGCTGCTGCTGATTTTTGGCTCAACATCATCTGCTGGTTCTCCGCGGCTTGGATAATTTTTGCCGCTGCTGCTGAGTTTTGGAGCTGACGGCGGCCATTTTGGCGTACCATCGCCAACATCATTTGCTGTGCCGGCCGGGCCAGTTGCTGCTGCTGCTGCTTATTCGGCGAGACGACGAGTTCATCGCCTGCTCCGACCTGCTGAATTCATCGTGGTCATCTTCATTTTGCTACTCATGGACTTGGATCATCCTCAGGGCGGCTCCGAGGTGTCGTACCGCGATCTACGAAATTTGGCGCGCTCGTAAGTTCGTTATTTTACTTCGTCGACTGCATCCAATCGCGCTCGCGTAATTTAAGTATTTATGCGATACGATATGTCTTTGCAAGCATAATTATTTTGAATTACATTTTTTACATTTTTTGTGGGATTTTCTGTTTCATTCGATTGACATCTGATACTGCCATGAGCATTGTGAGTCATTTGTAATGGACGAAAATTCTCCAATTTAGTTTTATTTGCTTGCGCAGACATTGATTATTTATTGTTTGGCATGTGTTCGCGTGAATTATATTCGATCGTCGCGAGTTTCTTTTTGCGTTTTTCGAGCGTGCGTTTAGCGAAAGCAGAGATAATTTATTGGCGAAAATTCAATAATTTGAATGTATGCGTGTGAGTGTCGTGAAATTAAAGCTTGCAAATTTGGCATATTTTAAGTACAAAAATTGCCATTTTGTCATTAATATTTTCTTTTGCGGGCTTGAAGCATTTAGAGTTTTCGAATTTTTGGAATTTTATTTTTCGCAAGTATACAATTTCTCGAATTTTCCGAGTCGACAGTGGTACTATTAGAGTGTGTGGAATTTGACCGTGAGCATCGTTTGTTGTTCTTGTCGGTAGCTTGCGTAACTCGTGCTCAGCTTATCTTTCATACCAGCAGTCCTCACAGCAGCAAATTTCGACAACAATAATTATAGTAGCAAATTTCACAGCAGCAGATCTCTGTGTTATATTATTTGTTGTGTATTATCATGAACATATTTCAGTAAATTTAAATTTTGACATTACTCGTATTTGAGTCTCAGAAATATTATTTAAGATTATTTTAATTTTCAAATTACGCCCTACGCGGCATAGCTAACCGCGTGGCGTCTTCTTTGTGCATTGCACACTTAACTTGTACAACCGTACTCGTATTATCTCCCTTTGGCCAGGAGATTCTCACATACCAATTACGCACATCGTAATTTTGTTGTATGTTTTCTAGCGCTCTTCGTGGCTTCATGAACCACGTAGCGTTATTTTTTGCGACAAGCAAATCTTTCAATATTATTTTTGGGTATTTGCTCATTGAGCTTACCTCTTGTTAATTATTTGATTACTTGAAAGTCAGCACATATTATGCTCTGTCCTTCGATTATTATCGATCATTGCTTGCGACGTGAGAGATCGCTTGTAGTGCTTAGCCGGTGCTGATTTCAAGTTCGACTTTATACATTATTTTGTTTTTCAATTGAAAGTCAGCACATATTTATGCTCTGTCCCTCGATTATTATCGATCATTGCTTGCGACGTGAGAGATCGCTTGTAGTGCTTAGCCGGTGCTGATTTCAAGTTTGACTTTATACATTGTTTATACCTTTACCTTTTGTTTTTCAATTGAAAGTCAGCACATATTTATGCTCAGTCCCTCGATTAACGTCGATAAATTCTTACGACGTGAGAGATCATTTATAGTACTTAGCCGGTGCTGATTTCAAGTTTAATATTGTTACATTGTTGATACTTTGACAATAATTTATCTAGTATTATTTGTACTCTAGATAGATATTAATACATTTGTTTTCGACTCTGACATTGAGTTTTGTCAGTCATGTTATATCTACATTGTTGACTTTGTTTTCTTGTCTACAAGACACAATTTGTTTAGATATTTTCTGCCTTTTGAATTGTAGGTATTTTCAATTCAGGCATTTCAGCCTTCTGACTTTTACATGACTGTTTATCTCAACTGAGATTATTGATGTTTTCAATAACAATACTTTGAGCACGGCACATTGCGTAAGCTTGCCTTTGACATTTTTAGTATTTATTTTGTTTGTTTATGTGCTGAGTACGCTGTCGCCTCGGGAATTTTCGGATTTTGTGAGAACAATTTGTACGCGTTTAGAATCATCGAGCGTGTTTTTGAATTGCCTGCGAGCAAAACTTATAGTTGTGTGGATTGATTGATTGTAATATTGTTATTGTTAATATAAGAGTTTTATTCGGGTTATAGGATAGCCATTTTCATTTTTCATAGTATCTTTTTTCTCATTTGATTCATCTTTCATCATTCAATCTCGCGTCGCTTTTCCCAGATTGAAGTCATATCATTTTTTCATCTCTTTTTCATTCGCTTATCCCTTCCTTTACCCTGAATTAACTTGAGTTTGACATAATGACTTTGATCGAAGAAGTTTCGACGGTCACACAGGCTGAAATTTCTACGCCTTTTTCGGATATTAAAGATACTTTATCCTTATTGGCGGCAGGTATGAGAGATCTAAAGCAAGCAATTTTGGATCGGCCTTTGACTGCGCCTGTACAGGCGAGTGAGCGTTTGATTGGCGCTACTCCGTTGGCGGACGCAGCTGCGTCGGTTCCTGTTGCAAATTTAGGCGGAACTAATAATTCGAGTCCTGGTAATGGTTTGTTTAATACGCGGCCTTCTGTTGTCTCTTCTCCTGCTCAGCCTAGTGTACAGTCGTCATCAACTAATTATTTTGGTTTTCCACTTCCGCAAGAGGCTGGCTCGACTCAGCGCAATTCTAGTATAAATGCCTCAGGCGCACCACCGCTTATTACCTTTGACCCTTATGATCCAGCTAGTTTACCCCAACGAGAAGTTGATAATCTTCAATTGGCGCGGACTTTTAAATTTCCTGCTTTTTGGAGACATAATCCAGAACAGTGGATAGACGGGATAGAACATAGATTACGTTTACATGGCATTGTGTCTGATAATGAGAAATTCCATCACACCCTTACTTCGTTAGGCAGTGATATTGTGGCTGAGATTTCTGATGCTACTCGAAATTTATCGGGTACTAATAAATTTGCAGCCTTAAAAAGTATGCTTTTAAGAAAGTACGTTGAACATGATAAAGCAAAATTTAATAGATTTCGTAGTGGTTTAACGGGTTGTAACAATCGCTTGCCTTCCGATTATTTGGATTATTTAGTTGGCGCTGGTGGACATTTTCTCGATAGAAACGCGATCCTTCAATTATGGAGCTTGAATCTCCCTGCTTATATATCGGTTCATCTTGACATGATTATCAATGAAGATAATGAACAACATAACGTAACTCGCGCAAATGAAATTTACCATCTTACTAAAGATAGAGACAATTTATCAATTAATAAAATCGATGTTAATTCGAAAAAGTCTGATGAATGCGATGATAGGATTGACGGGTTAATTAGAGCGGTCGAAGGTTTAACTAGGGTGGTG